CGTTTCCGACTCGCACTTGCCCGTTTTTTGTTTTGCATATTCACCTTTAGTTTGCGACGGGCTAGAAACGCAACTTTGTGATACGAGCACGGCGTAACCGTACCGCGTACTAAGGATACCCGCGTTTCAAGGAGGTTCTCTTTGCCCCCAACCACCATTTAGAGTTTACCGCAACTTATTATAGGTCTGAGAAGGAGCTTGTTTACAATAAACATGGAAGTGTTTAATTTAAGTGCTGAATTATCATGTACTCAGCGGTGAAGGAAATACACCGTGAGGCATATTTTAAATAATAACAACAATACTTCGAAGATATGCGATGCGAAGTCCACCAATCTGAAATAGGGTTGCGTATAGTTCACCACTATAATCCTTTTCCTCCACAGAGGAATCCTTTAACTTTATTAGGAATAGAATATACACAAATATCGACTTAGAATATCTTTCTGTTTTTTTTTTTTTTTTTTTTTATTAACATTGCCCTTACTTTAGGATAATATTTTCCTGTGTTGTAAGGTCGTTTTACAAACATAAATTTCTCGCGGACAAACGCCCAGATGCGAAACAACTATCTGTGGGTCACACAAATAGTTTTCCCGTGTGGGAATCGAACCTACGACCCGCGACCCCGAAGCCAATACCTTGGCAACTGCGCCACGGTGTCATCTTTCTTATATGAAAAGTGGTGCTCAGCTTCTTATTATGGTATTTCTGACTCTTTCATATAACTAAAACATACTGTCATAAAGTAACGTTACACAGATTTACATAATTAACTGATTATTAAATAAAATAAAACGTATCAAAATTTTACTATATTTGGCAGGTGGAGAGATGCAATGCAGTCGATCAATTTAGAAATATCTGCATACTGCTTTGTATACAAAATATTCATATTTTCGTCAAGGGATTAAAAATTTTAATGAACATTAAAACTTGCCTGTTGCATGATGATGTTAGATAGATTATAAGAAAAGGAAAGGAAAAAAGAAACGTTCGTAATTCGAAATGAAAGAACGTTATTCAAAGCCGACACACAAAGTCAACAACGCGGCAAATTCGAATGAACAGCACAAAGAACGTAGCTCGCCGGCAATAAATAATATTCTCTTTAATATTTTTATTTCGCCGGAGTGACTTTCTTAATCGGCTCCATTATATTTTGACCGGGGTCCTGTGGATCGTTTCTCCGGTTTTGAGTTACGAGTCGGCGGATTCTGTATGAAATGATATTTATATTAACGTACACTTAATACAAATATCATTTTGTATGGAACGCAGCACAGATTGCCACATGAGCCGTAAAAGCTCAGTGTCCGTGCGCTCACTCTTAATTCAATAAGCTCGAGCAACCTATGTTCAGATCATCAAACTCAATGACACTGTTAATTTAAGTGTTGATTTATCGCGTGCTCAGCGGTGAAGGAAAAACGTCGCGAAGAAAACTGCATAGTTTCAGAAGAATAACAAAAGAAAATATTTCCAAGATATGTGATGGACTATGCCCACCAATGGACATTTATAGCTGTTACTATACTTTTTTTGTTAGATTTTACGGACGTCTGCTCTTTTTGGTTTTCACCTGTTTACCCTTTTCGTTGTGACGCGGGTAAGTTCAGAGACGGCTTTTGCTATAAGCTATTGCTAATTTTCAGACATGTTCCGCATATTAGTAAATAATGATTAAACCACTGCATTGTACTTTATTTATTTATTTAATCTTTAATGCTAACCTTCAGTAAAACAAGGTAACAAAGGGCGAACTTAATGCCCAAAGGCATTCTCTACCAGTCAAGTTTATAAAATTCTGACGTTATACATTTTATATAAACAATTTGTTCATCCTAAATTGGTTTACCAGGTAGTTGGTAGTGAGGAAAAACATTGTAAGGGTTTATTGAGCATGAGGAACGGATTTATTACACATATCGAAAAAAATATAAAATAATCCTAAGATGAAGACTCTTTACTCTTTGTAGGTCCATCTTCTATCATGTAAATTGTTAGAATAATATGTTTGCAGTTGTCCATGTAAATTGTAAAAATAATATGGTAATTATGATGAAGGAGAGAGAAATGTGACAAGGATTTTAAGTCCTTAACTTAATATATATTAGTTTATTAGATAATATTTTGCTTTGTAAATATTGATTTTGAAGCCACATCAGCGATGTCAGTTTCAATGAAGGTGTACAACTAACTACGAATTAGAAAGTGTCACAAAACTAACCTGACGCGGTACGGCAGCTGTAACCTGACCCAGCAAGTGACCCATGACGGGGGGTGTCAGGTGACGGGCACCCTAATTCGAAGGCCCCAAGCATCGGATGTTTAAAACGTGGAACCAAAAAGTTTGTTAATTTGATACACGGTACGGACTGTTAGCATTAATGTTCCTTCTCTGATTGTTTTACGAGATTATTATAGAAGCATTCGGGCACAATTTGTTAAGTTTATCTGTGCTATGGTTTTTATTGCATAAACTTTATTTTTATTTAAATTCCAAGCCTTTCGAACTATTTCGAATCAAATAATATCAATTAGTGTTCGCTTACACAAATAATCTTATTGAAATTTATTAGTTTTGGCTTCTGACATATTTGTGTCTTTGTTCGGGTACAGACTGTGCAACTCTACCTTCTATTTAGTGGCAATCGACGATAAGATCGCTAAAAGCTCGATAACGGCTTCGTGTCTTCTACAGACTTTACTCATTTATATCAGTATAACAAACCACAAAATAATTAAATTTTTATGAAACAAGTAATCGTATACTCTATTCCTTTTCTAAACTGCCAAAATTATCATTTATTTATTTAACCTTGTGTTTAATTTTAAATTGTAATACAAACTACTTTTTTTATTCTCTCCATATATTTATACTATTTATACAATCTATTTCCATCGAATCTTCTTGAAAATTAAACATGTAAGACGTTACCAATTTAAACCCTAAATTCTGTACTCTCTAATCTACGTTGTATAGTCATCAAACTGACCACAACATTCGATTAAAAAATCACGCGCAAGTGCGCACAGATAAAAATAACCGGACAATAGGCGATGACACCGGCATAGACAATGCAGCAGTTATGGCTCTATGGTGCAATGCCATCCCATGTCATTCAGCGGGTGTCGACCCTACGCATGCATGATGCGCGGTGGTCGGGACGAAATAGCCTAGCAACCGGTAAAACAATGGTTTTATGGCCGTCCTATCGCTGCTGCCGTATCTGTTAGAAATATAATTGTTATGTTGTGTATGAGCTGATTCGCTTGGAATGGCTTTCAAAGTGATTTCACACTCAGCGCTTCTATGATCATTCGACCAAACGGATTCAACGTTGTCTGCACTTTAGATGAATTCTGCAAAATGACATGTCTTTTTTCTCTTTTTAAATAATAGCCTAATATATTTATGTCCCTCAGCTCAGCAAAGGTCTGTACAGAGGGCGTTAGCTTATAGTCTACCTCACGACCCCAGCGAAGTCCCCCAATCCGCAATTGGGGGATTTCGCATGTATTGGAAATATTTTTTATTATTTAATGATTATTTTAATATTCGGGCTTCCTCATAATGTTTTCCTTCACGGCCTGTGTAAAATTGCAATTAATAATGTAATTGGTGCCTCCAAGTCAGGCTTCTCTAGTACATGATGAATTAATACCGAGCGCCCGGAAATTGAGCTATTCCGAACGCTCAATCGAAATCTGAATGCATAATGGATAAATAAAAAATTTTTTTTGCTTCAGATAATTTCTTATATGCTTCACATACAAGTCTTTTATTCATTTAAAGAATGAGAACAGTGAACTTAACAGACAATATGAGTAGGGATAAAATTCCTAGCACCATTACAACCTAGATACAAATAAGACGTCCATTTTGAAATATAAATAAAATATCAAGATGCTGACTTTATAAGGAACTAACAAGGGTTGAAGAAAAAATAATACTGAAAGTTAATTTCAAAACTGGTGTACAGAAACCAATTTATCCTCTTTTCTTATTTTATTTAAATTAACCAATTAGTTGTTAAGGTCTTTGTTACATACTTAAATAATTAGTAATCAATGCACGGAAGAAGAGGATAATATTAATATACTGATATCTCACTTTTAAACATGTTTGTTATCTGCTGGACATGATTTATACATCTATTATTCTATAATCTAATAAAATAATTCTTTTCTCTTGTTTTCAGGTAAACATAGCAATGAAGATGACAGTCCCGTTTATTAAACACTACTTTCTTGCCCGTCCAAATTAGAAGTAAGTATTACGCTTAAAGCTAAGCAGTTGCAAATTATACTTAGTTTGTATTATGGTATAAGGAGGCAAGCGAGCAGTCGGTTCACCTGATATTAAGCGATAACTGCCGTCTATGGATATTTACAACGTTTATACGTTTATGGGGTCGCAGATGCGTTGCCAACCTTAAAAAAGTTATCCCGGTTACCTCACCAGACGGAACGCTAAAGTATGATAACTCCACCTCTGGTTGTCGCTTGCGTGCAGACCGTCGTGTCACAGACGGGTGGTTCTGCGTGAAAGCATTGACGTCACAGGAAGCACCGACACCACAATACTGTGTAAGCGGCGGCGCGTGAAGATGGCGCGACGATACCTCTTCGCGTTTTCGCCATTCTGCGTCAGCGACAAATTAAATGATTCGCATCGCATCGCGTGACCCGGGATGCCCGGCTAATTCAATTAAGCAATTACATTAGGTTAATGCATTTATAACGAATTGCTTTCGTAATGGTAGACCTACTACGCGACAGTGAAACAGCACTTTACGTCAAACACTGGACAAGTTCGGGCTGCCCGCACGTTTTATGACGCCTCATTTAGCTGACACCAGCCGTGTTAGAGAGCCCGCAATAACGTCAGTTAGGATTAATACTATGTCGACGCACCTAAACGTTGTTTGATCCAATAAAGATCTTGTGGCGTGAAAAGTGTCGTTTGTTGTACAGCCACGCAATAGTTTCTTCAAATGAAAGGTCGGACTGTAAATGTGACGTATGATGGCCTCAAGCGATCCGCATTTGTCTCGTCTGGTGAGTATGCTAAAAGGGGAAAACCCTTTTAAAGCTTAGCAGCATACCGGCAACGTAACGACAACATACTTGAAACCTAACCCAGGTGATACTGATGATGATAAGAAATCGATATCATCACATAAACCGTCGTTGTACACCGCCTACTGTGGTATGTCAGAAAGTGGCAAGCGAGCTGACAGTTCTTCTAGTGTCAAGTGATAACCCCCGCCCATGGACATTTGCAACAGCCATAAGGTGCAGATGCGTTGTCAAGCTCTTTAATTACATGTTCGGATTTGTGTTTTTAACTCTACGGTGGTAGGGCCACGCAGCAGCCTCGGCTGTTGCACGAATGGGCAGGCCCGACCGGGTAAGTACCGCAACCTCACAGAAGACCAGCGTAAAGTGGAAGTATGACAAATACTTTCGCGTTTCGTCTGGTGAATGAGGTGGCCGGAGCCCAATTTTCAAAAGGTTGTCTACGCATCTGTAACCCTCGGGTGTGGCAGATGACCATGGGCGGCGGAATTCACTTAACATCAGGGGAACCGTCTGCCCGTTTGGCATCTTTTCGCATAAAAAAAAGCTTCTGTTGTTGCACGAGTGTAGCCTACACAGCCTTTCAGCCAATTGCCACGGCCTTACAAAACCGGCGTGAATTAAAAGTATACGTTCGATGTCGATAGACTTTTTTAAAGCATCTGCAACTCCTTCGGTGTTGTATTTGTCAATGGTTGGCGGTGATACTTCAGGCGAACCGCCTGCTCGCTTTCCAATTTATCACACAAATAAACACTTGTTTTAATATACGACCGCGTTGTGTGTGCATAATCATTATTGTAACTACAGTGCTTATCGTTTGTGATAGTATTACTATTAGGCATCTCTTTTTTATTTGAAAAATTGTCTAACGAGCAGTTCACCTGATATTAAGTGAAGACCGCCACCCATGGTATCGATAAGGGCTTGCTGAAAAACCTTTAACAAAGTGGACGCCGGTTATCACACCAGTTAAAACGCGAATACACTATAATACTGCAATACAACAATAATAATAATAATCCTACACCAGGAGCTCGCTCTGAAATACGGCCTCGTGGATCGGAAACTGCCGTACTACAAGTACTCTCCGGAGGCCGTGCTCGAAAATGACCGCGCCTACCGCTCTATTGCTCTATTTGGACCGGTCCGACATCACGGACAGGACGATTGTCGCGAACAAACCTGACATCGTGGTGATAGACCGGGCACAGTCGCGGATATTTTTGGTCGACATTACCATTCCATATGATGAGAACCTCGTGAAAGCCGAAACAGATATGAAGACTAAGTATCTGGACCTGGCTCACGAGGTGACCGACATGTGGGGTGGTGTGCCGACCGAAATTATCCCGATAGTCGTGTCTGCGAATGGGTTGATCCCAGTCAGCCTCTCCGGACATCTGAGGCGACTGGGACTCCGGGACGGAACGCTCCAGGCTCAAATGCAGAAGGCGGTGCTCCTCGATACCGCCCGCATCGTCCACCGGTTTCTCTCCCTCTCATCCTAACCCTCGGTGTTTGGTCTCCCCTGCCGAGGGCTTGCGTCTGGTTGGGTCCTATTATTTTTATCTATAAACCCAACCAGACGAGAAAACAAAGAAATATCCCCAATATAATAATAATACAATAATACGGCACGATGAACTTATCTGAGGTACAGCCTCGGGCTAGCCTGCCCATTCCCACAGCAGAATCTGTTGCGAGGCCTCAATATCATCATTATGCATATATTCTTCTGTTCGTATGTATGTCACTGGACTCCTCCTAAATGGCTGGAGCGATTTTAATGAAATTTTTTGTGTGACTTCAGGTCGATGGTCGAATGGTTTAGATTCACATTTTTTTAAGGTGTCGGATTTAAGTCGTGTGTACGGGACAACGTCTGTCCGGTCCGCTAGTAGTTCTATAAACAAACATAAACTATAAGAAACATATCCGCTGGTTCTCATTACCCCGCGTTTACCGAAGTCATATTAAGGGCATCGAGTCGTTCGTCTCGCGTCCGACCGTACGCGCACCGCATTCGACGTTCGTCTCGCGTCCGACCGTACGCGCACCGCATTCGACGTTCGTCTCGCGTCCGACCGTACGCGCACCGCATTCGACGCGACCGTACGCGCACCGCATTCGACGTTCGTCTCGCGTCCGTACGCGCACCGCATTCGACGTTCGTTCGCACCCGACCGTACGCGCACCGCATTCGACGTTCGTCTCGCGTCCGACCGTACGCGCACTGCATTCGACGTTCGTCTCGCGTCCGACCGTACGCGCACTACATTCGACGTTCGTCTCGCGTACGCGCACTGCATTCCGCGTCCGACCGTACGCGCACCGCATTCGACGTTCGTCTCGCTCCGCGTCGCGACCGCTTTCGACGTTCGTCTCGCGTCCGACCGTACGCGCACCGCATTCGACGTTCGTCTCGCGTCCGACCGTACGCGCACCGCATTCGACGTTCGTCTCGCGTCCGACCGTACGCGCACCGCATTCGACGTTCGTCTCGCGTCCGACCGTACGCGCACCGCATTCGAACTCCGTCCGAAGTCCGTTCGGTTGCACCGGGTATCGAACCGATAACCAAAAAATAAATATGTCGGAGACAGCGATAGATTAGCGATATGCCCGTCTTCGGTAGGAGCTTCTGGTGCAGGGTTCATGGCGTAGGTCTCAGGCAATTAAACCACAAAGATACAGTAGGATATATCTTGTATTCTATGTAGATAGTCAATCAAGTACAAAGTTAACCAACGGTCCCGTTTAGAAGGTCCGAACTGTATCGCTCTCACTAATGAACTGAGTAACTCCGTAATACTGAGCTCAGACTCACCGCTCTCTCATATTTAAAATGTCACAGTTGCCCCCTCCAAACGATTCCGATCACGTGACTCGTTGCGTCACGGTGTTCACTCCTACCCGTTACAACAACATCATTTGAGTTACTAATTTTTGTTAAATTATCGTAATCGACGATAAATATAAATATTTCTAGGACACATTCCTACACAACGTTCTCTAGGCCCAAACTAACAACGCATACATGGTACTAGATAACTGATAAACATACTTTTCTTTTGTAAATATAAATACGTATTATACATATATGAGCACCCAGACACTAGAAAAAACACTATGTACATCACACAACATTTTTCCAGTGCCGGGGATCGAACCCACACCCTCTGGCACAGGAGGCGGGTACACTGCCCACTACGCCATTCGGGTCGTCGTTCGTCTCGCGTCCGACTTCGTCCGCATTCGAAGTCCGTTCGGCTGCACCGGCTATCGAAGCGATAAACGGCCCGGCGCCGGCGCCCATTAAAATGGCCGCGCCATACGCGCGTCGCCGTTTCCATTAAAACGCGGACAATCGAAAAACGAACAAGCAATGGCACGTCGATCGGGTGCCAGAGTAATTCTGTGTTATGAAGGAATGCCAAGACTAAAGACACAATGGCTTACGACGCTGATGGATCGGTTTCCGAGCTTCGGCTTCGTGGGGCTCGTTTTACGTGACAAGTGTTTGTATTAACTGTTGATTGTTCCGCATCTGGACGAAGATCTGTTGATGTGCTGATAGAATACTACTTACTATTCTTCGAAAGAGGACCGTATATGACTAATATAATATAAGCAATTTATTCAGAGCGAAATTTTCGAAAGCTATTTAGTTTAATCGTTGCTACTGCGTAATTGGTGCAAATTGTCTATCGAATAAACTGATAGCTTATGTGCAGTCGCAGTATAGGTATGTGTTGTTTATTTTTAGATATAGGAGTACTGAATTATTTATTGTTCGTCCGAATTTATAAGACTTTTTAAGTCACTATGCTGTAAAAGAAAATAATAAGCGAATACAACGATAGGAACTTTTACTTGCTAACAAACTGTGCATAAGCGTAGGGAATCAGCACGTATATTTAAATGAGAATTTTATTGTCAATAAGTTAATTAACAGCCTGTATATGTTCCACTGCTGGACAACGGCCTCTTTTGTACAACAGGGAACAGGTTAACCCGACGAAATGCAAATATTAAATCTTCTATTTTACGCGAGTCCTTTGTGAGCTCGTGGAACGTTCACAGAGAGGCTGGACAATCAAAGCAACATCATTCATCGGTGACCGCTCGACAGCTGTCACGTTTTAAATAATTTGCGGCCAGTAAGTAGCGTGACAAGCTTAACACGCTAAACACGCTCGGCGACACGCGGACAGAATTGGCCACCATAGCCCGTTGTTGCTGAAAGACGTGAGAACCTATGCATTATATATCATTTGTTTCGTTTACCATACATAAATCCGTCCGTATGTCGCAGACTCAATGTCGCGCTGAAAACACAATACGCAAGTAATTGAGTATTCAACGCGTGCCTCGACTACAGGAAACTCGAATAAGTATTCATACGCAATTAAGCAATAACGATCCGTATGTTTGATTGCAAATGTGCTAGTTTGCCGTGCACCTCGTTACAAACAGTACTTCAATACGTTACATGAACTTCGCGTAGGGCAAAAAGGTTTCGCCTTGCATTTATAATTACTTTCACATAACGCCCAGTCTTGATTAGGGCTGTGCCTGAAGAATGCACGGATCACATTTTGTGTTTCGAAATTTTATAACGCAGTTTTAAAACGCGATTTTCCCATCGCCTGCAGCTTTACGAAGTCCTATATAGGCTCCTATACAGCGTTCTAAATACAGTTGTTTGATTCGTCGGAGACCATCTCCAATCTCTTCGACCGTTTGGCCTTGAAAAATAACGTAACATCTCTTTGCTGCTAAGGGTGGCATTATGGGCTCGGCAAAACTCTTTAATAATTAACCCACAAAAATCAAATTTTATGGTCCTGGGCACTAAAAATCAAATAAAAAAAATTTTGTTAGCCAATCCAAAACTACAAATAACTGGAAAAGAAATTGAAAGAGTGGAAGTTGTCCGAAATTTAGGCTTTGCTACTGATCCAGAACTGCATTTTGATCGTCACGTAAATAATATTATGAAGGATTGTTATTATAAATTAAAAATTTGATACGGGATTAGAAAATTTTTAAGTATTGAATTAAGAAAACGGTTGGTAGAAAGTTTAGTGCTTTCGAAATTTACTTATTGCGACACTGTGTATGGTCCATGTTTGTTGTCTAGAACAAAGCGCTTAATTCAAAGAGTCCAAAACGCGTGTGCCCGCTACTGTTTTAACATACCGCGGCAAAGTCATATTACGCCCTTTTTTAACGCAAATAACATTTTGAAAATGGAAGCAAGGAGAAAACTACATTTAGCTAATTTATTATTTGACGTTATAAACACGAATAAACCGGAATACTTATATAGAAAACTAAATTTGAAGCACACCTACTACAAATATCTTAGCAGATCTTTTGCCAAACCGCTCTCATTGCCACAGACTAGAACATCAGCGTTTAGAGGAAGCTTCAAGCATGCCGCCACTCGCTGTTGGAATGATATACCGCCGCCGATAAGGTCTTTGAAAACCAAATTTTCCTTTAGATATCATTTAAAAAAACACCTTTTATCTGAGCAAAAAACATAAACGGGGACGGTATGCTTGACCATTCGTGCTACCAGTTATTTTTTTCGTACATTTTTTATTATTGTTTCATGTTTCTTTTGATTTAATAACATCATATGTTTTTTGTTACTTTTTATAAGATTTTATGTAAATTTTTTGTCCTTTTCTTTCATTTTTCCCGTTTCTCGCACTAAAACCGTACCATTAACTGAAAAGTAAGCACGTGCCTGATGCACACACATCGCACACACGTATGGATTGGTGGATACATTTTCGATCCTAATTAACGTTCCCATTTTTGTTGTTTTTTGAGTTTTTATTTTATTATAATTTTAGTTTCTTACTTTTGTTTTTGATAAATGTATTGTTTTTTTTTTTGGGCTCGGGGCTGTATTCCCCAATTTTTGGTCATTACTGAAAATCAGCGTTGCACTTTCACTGCAACATTCTGCTGAGTGATGTCCTTTTTGGCATAAATCGCGACGTACTTTATTGAAAAGGGAAAATATGCATATTGGAGTTTTATGTTCATGTTTTTTTTGTCTAATTTTTATTGTTTTAAGTGATTGTTGTGTACGTCAGTCTGTTTTATGTCAAATAAATCTCTTTCTTTCTTTCTTTCTATCGCATTAATCATAAGGAGTGACCCGCGTTAAAAAAATGTAATAATAAAAGATACAATATGGTAATTTGTAGGGCCAGGTAATTGAAAATCTGCAAACAAATCAAAATTCCATCAAAAACTATTTAGGTACAACCCTAAAATAGCTTTTTTGTCCACCGATTGTTATAAGAAATTCGGTCATGCGTGACCGGTGTGTAGACCAATAATCTCAGAGCGAATACCGTGTCATATTCATTCACTTTTTATAATTCCAATCAATGCAACATGTACAGAAGTTGCCTGTGATCATATTAATTTGCTTTCGAACACCATGAAATTACTTGTTGCATAAGCATGTGACACTGAGCTATGTTCAGCACGTACTGTTTTTACAAGTTATGACTACGAGAAACATCGTACTTTATTATCTCGTTAAAATTACTATTTCCCATAAACATATAGACAAAAAATTGTTCCTTTTCGTAGCCCGAAGATGTACATTCATGTTTGTTCAATTTCATGTTTTTAAAACATAATTAATTTGAATTAAGAATTTACAGACAATCAAGTTTTTTTGTGTTTCAAATGGCCAGTACTGAAGAACAGCAATTTCATAGGACCTATTATAAAGTAAACATATTATATTTACGTCAACCGATCGTGTTTTTTCTACAGTTATTTTAACTGGCCACTGCGTCGTGTCATAAAACCCGGAAAAAAAGAAAACGTCGAACCATTTTTACGGTCGATTGGTCTTTAAGCCTTTTACGTCATCTTTTTCTTACTGTAATATAATATTATTATCTTGTTTGAAAAGTTTATATGGTCATATTTGACGTATTTAAAATTTATTTGAAACGTGAAATAGTGTTCATATGAGGTAACGATAGCATTTCACTATGTTTAATATACTTACAAATTTTGTATAAAATATTTGTAACGCTGTTGATGACTTTAAGCCTTACTGAAGAAGTATATATAAAATTATATACTTAATAGGTAAATTCTTTGAATGACGCACGACTTTTGCACCCGAGTGGGAATCGATACCTTGACTCGCTGCGTGAAAGCCCTCATATGAACTGTGATAGAGTCACGCAGGAGTTTCTGCTGTTGCATTAATGGGCAGACTTGTCCAGAGATGTACCACGGTATCATATAAGACCGGCGTGAAGTGACTGTTGTATAACTTCGTGTTACGTCTGGTGAGTGAGGTAGTCGCGGACCTCTTTTTTAAGAGTTAACAATGGTTGTCATCGGCGGCGGTAATCACTTAACATAAGGTGAACCGCCTGTTCGCTTCCCAACACAGAAAACCGTAGAGATCTATTTGTTCTGCAACTAGATTATAAAGTAAATGAAATGCTTTACCTTAAGGCGTCTTCTACGGTAACCAACAAGTTAGCTAGTCAGACTGGTCCGTAATACGATAGCTAGAAAGTGGTGTACGACATGTTGCCAGTAATCCAACGGTGCTTTGACGGACGTCACACGAAATCTATTAAATCTGTCTGTTTGTCTTCTATTTGACGATGTCAAAACCACACAGATCGGCTTACACTATTTGTGGTCAGTATAAGACGACGGAACTGATAAACTCGTTAAATCGTCGAAGTTGACGTAAGGACCAGTTTCTCATTTAACAGTAATAAAGAGCTTGGAAGAACACTGATATAGAATATCAATCGTACTGTAGAAACAAACCAAACACCACTTCATTGAAAGGTGGTAACGCATTTGAACTTTACACGTGCTGTAAATGTCCGTGGGTGGCGGTTATCACTTAACATCAGGTGAACCGCCATCTCGTATGCCATCTTATTACATTAAATAACCATCATACTGTGTGTATGACCGTCAGTAGTGTTATGGATGTTTGATGGTGAACTTAATATCAGGTGAACTGCGTCCTAGTTTATCATCTTCCCAAAGAAAATATCTTCAATTTATATCTTCAAAAATGGCGATCAATCAACTGCACTAGTTATGTCAATTAGGAATGACTGCGTACCATTTATGGGTTTGAGATTAGTCTCTAAAAGTTTGTCCGTACAAGAACTGTAACGACTCTACACTACCCTTCCATTGCAACCATTTGAATACAAGTGCATTACTCAGAATTGAAAACTCACGTTAAAAAGTTTAAAGACCCGTTACTTCACGGACATTATGCCTCTATCAGCCGTTGCCATTTCTAAAAATAACAGATCAGCTGGCG